AAGCCTGCTTCTCCCTCTACTACTCTCCCTGCTGTGTTCCCTCTCTCTTGCTCTCTCTCTCTATCTCGCTCTCTGTCAGATAAATAAATAAATAAATAAATAAATAAATGGAAATGTTCCACCCTGACAACAAGGAAATGAAGTCTGAGTACAGCGCTACCCTTGGGGCCATCCAGCATCCAGGACACAGCACAGGGGAGTGGGGCTGCTTCACTGTCCCACCCACAGGCCCCAGTCAGATCCAGTCTGGAAACCTCCTCCTACCCCAGCCTTAGTCCTCTCTGGGTCCTGGGTACCCCTCCAGCTTCCTTCCTTTTCATGGTCTTTCTCACACTTAAGATTTTTTTAAAGATTTTATTTATTTATTTGACAGACAGAGATCACAAGTAGGCAGAGAAGCAGGCAGAGAGAGAGAGAGAGAGAGAGAGAGAGGAAGGGAAGCAGGCTCCTTGCTGAGCAGAAAGCCTGATGCAGGGCTGACCCAGGACCCTGGGATCATGACCTGAGCCAAAGGCAGAGGCTTTAACCCACTGAACCACCCAGGTGCCCCTACACATGTAAGATCTTTCTCCCCCTATAGGGATTCCCCCGGAGCCCACACACTCTCCCTGGGTCCCTCCTTCCTCAAAGCTCCAAAAAACAACTGTTTTAGGAGAGAAGAGCGAGGAAGGAAAGAAGTGAAGAAAGATTGATGGGAAAGGGAGAAAGGCGAAGGGACAGGGGAAGGGAGGAGAGAAGAGGGGAGGAGGGGAAGGAAGCAGGGAGGAGGGGGAAGAAGGCGGAGGGGAAAAGGAGGAGGGAGGGATAAAGGAGGGAGGATGGAGGAAGGATAGCATGAAAGACAGGGAGAAAAGAGAGCAAAGGAGGTACCCAAAACCAGACCGAGATCACTCCTTCTTTTTCAGATCAATAGGTTTCTATCATTCTTCCCACCAGGTTCTACTTGAGGGACCACAGAGAAGCAAATTGCTTCAGAAATCCAGTTTCACTTTACTTCTTCATCGAAAACCAGGGAAATCAGAAAAAGCCTACTTGTTTTATGATGTTTTCAAGGGTGTGGACACAGAGGAGGAAAAAATCATCTTGATTTCCTGCCCCCCCCCCTTTAAGGTCTTTGCAGTTTCCTGTTAATTTAATACCTGAACTTTTGCCATGTAAATAACACGGGTAAAGATAAAATGTACCGGCCTGGACTCTGACCTTTGCTTAATACCCACCCCCTCTCTGATTCATCCCCCATCCCATCACTGGGAGGTTTGGAATTGTTACCGGGAAATTTCAAAGCCGGAGAATAAATAGCTCGAGGCAGAGCGTGTTGGTTTTATTTATTTTTATTATTATATTATTTTAATTAGAGAAAGAGTGAGCACAAGCAGGGGGAGCTGCAGGCAAAGAGCCAGGATGTGGGACTCAATCCAGGACCTTTGGACCTGAGAGGAAGGCAAACGGGCTGAGCCATCCAGGTGTCCCACGGGCTGGTTTTAGAAAAGTCTGTGTCCAAAACTCAGACCAGTTCTCTGGCCAGCTGCTGTGTCTTCCTTTCTCCCTCAAAGCTGTAACCTAGGGGCGCCTGGGTGGCTCAGTGTGTTAAAGCCTCTGCCTTCGGCTCAGGTCATGATCCCAGGGTGCTGGGATCGAGCCCCGCATCAGGCTCTCTGCTCAGCAGGGAGCCTGCTTCCTCCTCTCTTTCTCTGCCTACTTCTCTGCCTACCTGTGATCTCTGTCAAATAAATAAATAAAATCTTAAAAAAAAAAAAAAAAGCTGTAACCTAGATGGGGTCAATTCCCTTTCCATTCACTTGGGAGGACGGGTCCCCCCACCTCCCACCTCTGTCACCTCTGCATCTTTTATGTACCCACGTTCTGCTCTGCTGGTCCTGCACTGCCCCATTTACTTAGACAAGAGTGATTTAAACAAGTGACTGAATTCCTCTTCCTCCTGTGGGGCACACCTGTATTTATTTCTTTTCTTGTTGGGAGTGCTTCCTCTAACAGTGTTTTCGGTGTTTTCCAAGAGGTGATCTATGTGAGACACCTTCTGAGCCCTTAAATACCTGATAATTTGGCCAGAAATCAAAATCTAGGCTCAAAGTTCTTTTTCTGTAATACTTTAAAAATATTATTCAACTATCATCTTAAATTCGGTGTTGCTGTTGAGAAATCTGAAGACAATCTGATTTTTGTTCCTTCGTCAGTCCTCTGTGACCCAGGTACCTGGAATACAAACGTGATGGCTGGTATTTTCACTGCCAGTTTGGATTATGAAGATGAGATGGGGGAATAGTGAGCTGGATTGAGACCTGAGCCCTCAAAGAACTGGTAATACAAAGTTACTCTATCAGCCTTGAACGGTCCCCCTCCACACTTCTACAAAAGGGAAAATAAACTTTCATTGTGTTTGGAGTCTGCGTTATTAGTAGCTATTATTTGGAATCTGTGTTATTAATATCTGAAATGAATATTCATGTATTGTGTAAATCTGCTTTGTCTTAAACTTTCCAGATTTCTGATTAGTTTTCCTAGTGATTGATGTTTTCCTGGTTATCAACTACCTTGGCTACCTTGAAAGAGGTTAAAGGCTAAATTCTACCTTGTTTCCTCTTGGGGAGCTCAAAGAAGGGGGGAGGGGTGGTAAAGACAGGGCAATTGCCTGTGCTATTACAATGTAAATTGGGCTACCCCCCCAGGGTGCCTCTGACCCGCCAAAACTTACCAGGCACCTTTCTCAGGGAACTTCTTGGCACTCTCTCCCGACCACTACTCTTTTTGTGAGCTAGGTCATGTGGGTGGAATGCCCTGACCCAGGCAGTGGGAAGAAGGGCCAGGACTGCTACTGGCTGCCAGGTCTGATCGTTGTTCTGTGCTTCTAACCCCAGCCTAATGTTACCATTCCCAGCTAGTGCAACTATTTTCTGCCTCAAAGCACCATGGCAATGACTGCAATAAGTCTGGGGCTGGGGCTGGGGCTGGGCAATGATCTATCCAAGCCAATGTGGGCAAAGAGAAGCACACATTCCTTACAAGACATCCACTCAACCTATCCCCTTCTATAGCACAGCCCTCACATGGGAGGGGCTGCTGTTTCCTTCCCACACTCCAGGACCAAACCACCTGCTACCTCCCAGAAGGTAGGATGGGGAGGGCAGGTTCTCCGGGGTTTTTACATTCCTTTCTTAATCCTCACCAAAGTCTCTCTTGCATCTGTGGTATCTTCAGGATTGTACCCACAGGAAGGGACCAGCATCTCAAGTACATGACCATTTTGTCAGCCATGCATTACTTTTCTCATAATACCCATCACCAGTTGAAGCTGTTTTTTATGTGTTTGGTTTTTTCTCTCTCTCTCTCTCAGCCCTCCCTAAAGCAGCCCCTCCATGAAGGCAGGATTTTGGCCTGTTCCCAGCTGTGTCCTCAGCACTGGGCAGTACCTGGCAGAGATGTTCAATAAAGACAAGTGGGACCTGGTGTTAGAACCCAACTCTGATCCTGGCTCAGGGTTTCTTGCTCCAAATCTGGGGCTTTCCCCACCTAATCCCATGGATCTCTGCCCTGAGCAAAGACCATACACAGAGGGAAAAGGTTTATATTAACTAGACTCACAACAAAGATACAGGGTCCTTACTCCAGACATTGGCTAAAACAGCTGCTGGATAATTAGACTTAGAGGTGCTGTGTGTATATCTTCCAATCCCCACTGCTTGCACCCAGTAGGTGCTCAAGAAAAGGTGTGTTTTATTGAATGGACATATAAATTCTCCAGGAGGACATAATTCAGCATAATTAGATGGGACCGGAAATAGGGTTACTGAAGAGCAGATTGGGGGTTATATGGAGAAGGAGAGAGCTGAGCATGAACAAGCTCTTGATCGAAAAGGGTCTTTGGTCTATACAGTGTGACAAGGCAAAAGTAAAGAACTTTGCCCAGCACTGTCCAATGCCACAGGCATGAACTGCACGCAGCTATTTTCATTTAATTAACATTAACTCACGTGTAAAAGTCAACTCCTCAGTTGCAGTAGCCAGATTTCAAGTAATAATAGTCACATGGGGCTTTGCAGCTACTGCACTGGACAGTGTAGATAATATAAAACATTGTCATCATCAAAGAATGTTCCATCGGACGAAGCTGACCTAGACCCTTAGAATTAAAGGAAACATATTTCTGCTTCTAACCTGGCCTACAGACATCCTCTCTACATCTCCTATATCACCACTCCCTACACCACCACTCCCCCCACCCCCATTCCCGCCCAGATCTGAGCACCATCAGTGCCCACATCTGCCTTCCTAGGTTTTCTGGTCTACGGGGAGTAATGCTGTCTCTTTCCTTCGTTTTGACCCCCCAGTGCCCAGGGTAATAAGTATTTGTTGAAATAATGAGCCCTCGATTAGCTTATGTTAAATGCTGAGGCCCAAAAGGTGAATTAAGTGACAGAACAGAAGAGATCCCTGCTTCCCCTCTTTTCTCACCTCCCTACTCCCTTCTCTGCATTCCCTTTTCTGGCGCCCCCCACCAACACCCCAAAGCAGTACGTTAGAGGCAGTGCCCCCCCCCCACAGAAGTTCCGGTCCCCAACCTACACGGACTCCAAGGAGGTCTGTGTTCCGGTTCTCAAACCGATCTAACTTGTTCACATGATAATTTTCTGTCTTCCTTCTCCGTTGGCTGCCCCGCACCTTAGTAGGTACTCAACAAGTGTCTGTCGAATGGTTGGAGGAACCGGTGCACGGATGGATGGATAGACGGATGGACGGCTCCGTGTCCCCGCGTCTGCCACACGGACTGCGGGAGAAGCCACCCTCAGCGCGCTTACGGGGAAAGCCCCAGGCCCCAGCCCAAGGGCCCGCTGGAGCGCGGAAAGCTCGGCCCGCGGGCCGGGAGTCGGGCGGGGCTTGGCCCTTGGGGGTGTGTCCTCCCGGGCCCCGGCGCCCGCGGCCAGAGAGGCTCACAGCCACCGCTGCAGGGCCCGGGCGGCCGTAGAGGACGCGCGGCGACGAGCATGGAGCGCGAGCTGGAGGAGCTGGTGGCGCGGCCCGCGCGCCCGGCAGAGCCGCCCTTCCAGGCGCTGGTGGAGGCGGCGGGCGGCCGCGGGCAGGTGCTGCTGGTGGGCGAGCTGTGGGAGCGCGAGCAGAGCCGCGCGCTGCTGCGGGACTTCGCCCGGGCAGTGTTCCCGCCCGAGCAAGCGGCGGGCAAGCCGGGCAGCGCGGGGGCTGGGACACCAGGGGTCGGGGCACCGGAGTCGCAGAGGGCGCCCGGGACGGCGGGGGCGCGCGCCATCCGCTCGCCGCTTGTCTTCGTGCTGTGCCGCGCGTCCTCGCTGACCGCCCGGGAGCCGCGGCGCCGCCTGCGGGAGATGCTGCGGGACGTGCGCGGCCGCCGGCGGGCCGGGACGGCGCTGGTCGGGGTGCTGGTGGCTGAGGCCGGGCCCGAGGACACGGTGGCGCCGGGGTTGCGGCTCCTGGAAGCGCTGCTGCGCACAGTGTTCGGCCGCCAGGCGGGGGGCCCAGTGCAGGCGGCCGCCTATTGCCCCGGCCACCCGGCCTCCAGCGTGGCCGTCCAGGCAGCCGCCTGCAGGGCGCTACAAGCAGCCGGGTCCTCGCGACCAGGTGAGACTACAAGGCCCGGGGGCGGGGGGGTGCGGGCGGTGGGCGGCCTGGGGGTGGGGGGAGGCCCCGAAGTTGGAACTCTTTAGACCAGCTTCTCTCCCTGGGCACCACAGTAAACTGAGGCCCAGAGAGGGGAGGTGCCCAGCACTAGGTCTTCCAGCTACCGTGGATTAGGCCCTGGACCCCAGGTGCAGTCTGTTCCGGAAGGATCCAGAGAGCCTAGGGGACGCAAGGGCTTGGGAAAGCCGAGCAGACCAGCTCAAGGCAGGGAAGTTGGTGGAGAGAGGGTTGGATTGGGCTGGGAGCTGGGGGGAGGGAGAGGAGGTGAGAAAGCATCAGGAGGCCCAAGTTCCAAGGTGGGAAGGGGAATAGAACTGGGACCTGGGAGCTGGCGGTGGCAGGAGCTTCCAGGACCCTGTGCAGCTAGGGATGCGGCGGGGGAGGCTTAGCGTGGATGCCCCACCGGCTCACAGGAATAGGTGCCAAGGCTCTGAGTGTGGGGAAAGGGTGAGAGGGACTGCAGGCCCAGAATTTTCTAATCCTACTCTGGGTGTGCTCCCACTGCTGCGTTTCTCTCCACATTCTCCTGAAGCGTGGAAAGGGCAGTGAGGGCACCCAGCCTGGGTAACTACTGCCATCAGCAGAAGTGTGAGAAATCTCTTCCACCCTGGTACCGATCGGAAGGTTTTACAAGAGCTTTTCCGGGTCTCAGGATTAAAATACTGACACTAAGTACAGCTGGATCTGGCAAAGCTGAGAGAGGCAGGATTGTCCTTTGCGCTCCCAGATCCCTTCCTGCCCCCACCGTCCCTGCACTTGCTGCCATCCCAAGACCTCAAGCCTTCCATTCTTGCTAAAGTGGTAACGAACAGAGACTGTGTTCTGCTTCTCTGGGCATCGGTGTGATAACCAGAAACTGGGAGATACCAGGTTTGCGGGGGTGGGGGGGGTGCTTTTCCAGCAAGGAGATCTGGTACCTCTGATGTCCCAAATGTCCCAGACCTACCAGCTAGCTTGGCTTGCCTTAGTGAAAGCCATGCATCTCAGCCTTAGGCTCTGCCCCAGCCTCACTCCCCCGACCCCCACACCTAGTGCCTACAACCCCTTTCTGTTGAATCTGTGATAGCTAAATTTGAAACTCTATTAACAGTATTCTGAAAGACATGAAAAGCCCTGAGGTGAATTGTTATTGTGATTGTCACTGCCAGTCCTTTCACAGATCTGGCCCCACAGGGAAAAGGAAGGAATTTACACAAACAGATTTTCTGCTCCCAATGAGCTGGTATCTAGAAAATTCTGAGTTCTTAGTCTCTTAGCCCTCTCCCATTCTCCAGGAACAACTTTTAATTCCCCAGAGCCAAGTGTGTTCTGGCCTCCTCTAAGTTTTTGTACATCTTAAAGTTGCCTTGAATGAAAACCCATTTTTCCCGTCCTCCTCTTCACCTGACCAGTCCCATTTCATCATTTGGGACCAGACTTCCTCCTCCAGGAAGCTTTCCCTGACCCTCCCCACTCCCACTTGTAAATTTGCAAGTGAAATCCCAGAACTCTTAAGCACCGGATTTTGTCACTTGGTGAGTTATATCCCCATTTCCCAACACCTTGCCTGGCAAGCAGAATCCTTGCCTCCTTTTAAATATTATCACTTAAGAAATCTTAACACTTTGCAAAGGAATCATTCTTTACTGTTTAAACTTGTTTCTACTTTTATAGAAACATCCTGAACAACATGAAACCTTTCACTGATGACCAAAATTGATGAGTATAGGTATAACTCACTGTCCACTACTCTCTTCGGGGCTTTTTCAGTGGACAACACCATGGATTGCTAACACGAAGCAGTCCTGTTGCTAAGATTTTGAGAGCAACTGCATCTGGCTTTTTTTAAGTTTTCCAATCTCTTTCCTCACTGCCTGATGGCTATTCTTATACTTTTAGGTTGCCCGGTCTTGGCAATGACCTCTTACCTAGTTTATGCTTAATCCCCTGAGGACCCTGATCCTAAACCAGTGAAGGACCCAGTCTTATTAGAAGTGGGTACAAATTCAGAGTAAATAGGTCCTGCATGAGGATTTATAAACAGGATGTTCTGTGTTCCAGTTGGCCATTTTCCTGAGAGTGGGGGCTCCCAGGTGCTGAGGTGTTTTTTATAATAAGGAAACTAGACTTCTGAGCATTGCCAATCAATTAGATGAAAAATGGTAGCTTATAGTTTTAAGTATGAAAGTTTCTATGTTGAAAACTTAAAAAAAATAAGGAAACTAGACTCGACATGTAATTGATTTAGGGCGCCTGGGTGGCTCAGTTGGTTGGGCGACTGCCTTCTGCTCGAGTCATGATCCTGGAGTCCCAGGATCGGGTCCCACATTAGGCTCCCTGCTTGGCGGGGAGTCTGCTTCTCCCTCTGACCCTTCCCCCTCTCGTGTTTTCTCTCTCTCTCTCTCCCTCTCTCAAATAAATAAATAAAATTTAAAAAAATGTTATTGATTTACAGTAGTTATAAAAAACGATTAAGTCTATTCCCATTAAGAGATAGTTTGAACCAAAAATCAAGGGGAAATTTCTGCTCTTTGAGTATTTTCTTTGGTGCTGTGTCATTGTTATTAGTTTCATGGCACTTTTTTGGGGGGTCAATTTTGCAAATACAAAAACTCCACCCCACTTAGCAAAGCAGAATCTTTTTTAAAAAAATTTTAAAGATTTTATTTGTTTATTTGAGAGAGAAAAAGAGAGAGCACAAGCAAGGGGAGAGGCAGAGGGAGAAGCAGACTCCCTGCCGAGCAGGGAGCCTGACATGGGGCTCAATTCCAGGACCCTGAGACCATGACCTGAGCCAAAGCAGATGCTTAGCCAGTGGAGCTGCCCAGGAGCCCCCCAGAATCTTTGTTTTTTTAATCAAACAGTTGAAACTAGGGCAGTTGATAATTGAAGCACTTGGTTTGTTGAACAGAAAAATCTCTCAAACGTGCTTACCTGCTGCGTCTGGGACCTTGTGTTCTTTCTGGCAGCAGGACCCTGGGAGAGACCGAGCCTCCCAGCACTGCTGGCGTGCTTTTCCTGGGGTCCCTGGAGCCGGGGGAAGGATCCAGATGCCACCTCCCCCAGTGACCCAGCTCAGGGTGAGTGTGCTGCCTTCCTGACCTTCTGGACCCTGCGGGCCAGGTGCTTGGGATTATGGGGTGGGTCCTGTGCACACAGGGACCTAAGGGATAGGATTGACCGACATCCACGGAGCACTTGCCATGTGCGGGGCGTGGAGGTGAGTGATGTGAGGATGTGAGGTGTTCCTGCCGAGGGCCACAGGCACACTGACCCCCTAGTAGGGCTCTAGCCCCGTGGGTCTCCCACTAATGAATGCATCGGTGTGGTCAGGGCAGGTATCTGCGCCGTGCATGGTGGGGTGCTTGGAGCCAATGCATTTAACCTACCCCTGAGGCTCCAGAACACACGACCTTGGAGCCAGGGATTGGAGATTGTCCTAGGCAGCAAGGGGGAAACCTGGGAGAGGAAGCAGTGTGAATGAAGGCCTGCGGGCATGATGTCATTCTCAGAAAAGGGGCCCCCATTGGGAGTGCCAGGGGGTGAGGACCAGGAGACTGGGAGGGCTGAGGCTGAGGAGGAGAGCTGGGACCAAATCGGGACTCTGGACCCAAGTGTCCCACGAATAGTGAGCTGCTGGCCATTTCTGAGCAGGGCTGTCCAGATTAGGGGCATTTTGGAGAGGTGACAAGACTGTGAGGCAGGGCAAGACTAGAGGTAGAGCCAATTAGGAGGGGACTGTCTAGTCCCAGGAGGGACAAGGAGCAGCCTGGACCCAACACTGGGAGTTTGGGAAGGGAGAGGAAGGAACTCAGCCTGAAGCCTTTTCTAGTGTAGGCTTCTCAAGCCGCTAAAGAGAGAAGGGGGGAAAGACAGTTCTTTGGAGTCCCTAGGAGCACCCAGTGGGCATTGAGGCTGTTGTGAGAGCTCTAAAGTACTGGGGGAGTACATTGTAACCACCTAAATGTACATGACCCACGGCCCCAGCGTGTACTGAACAGCACAGCTCTGTTACAGAAGCAACGGGCAGTGTTTTAAAACAAACTTTTCTTGTGTCCTTTATGTTTAAAAAAATCACCAGGCGAGGTGTCAGCCTTCCCTTGGCACGTAAGAAGTGAGCACAGACTCAGTGGCTTACAACAACACCCGTTAATTCCTCACAATTTCCGTGGGTCAGGAGTTTCACAAAGCCGATCAGAGTGTCGCCCGGGCTGCATTCCTTTCCGGAGCCCGAGGCCTTCATGCTGCCGTGGGTGTGAGCAGAATTCCCTTCTCCACTGCCTTCTTAGTGGCCATCAGCTGGGGCTCTTCTCAGCCGACAGCCATCTCTCCACACGTCTCTCAACACAGCAGCTGCTCCTTCAAGAAGCAGGAGACTTTCTGGTCTCCGATAATGTCACTCAATCACAGGAGGAACCGTTCTGTTGTCCTATATGGGACCCTAATCAAGGGAGTGACGATCCCATCCTACTGACAGATGCCACCGGCAGTGGAAGGAGGCGATTACGCAGGATGGGTACACCGAGTGGTGGAAATCTTAAGGGTCATCTTAGAATTCTGCCTATCACAGGGGAAAGCTCAAAAAATTTGAGAAAGGAAAACAAGTATGAAAATCATTTGCTGAATCCCGTCACTCAAAAGTAACTATCAGCTGTATTTTGACATAGACCATTCTGTTCATCTGTCTGTCTACCTATCTATGTACCTCCTTGTGCCGTTTAAATTGTAATAAATACGCTTCTATATAATATATGAATTATCAGCCAAATGCATCAGGTATTCAAAGCATTCCGTTGCAAAAATGTTAACTTCAGTCTCTCCATCGTCAGTGTGGATATTTCTGGAAATCAAAGGGAAAAAATAATAAACCAAAGGAATCAGAAACAATTTTACATAAATCTTGGATAACTCCCCTCTCTGTAGGATGTAACAATTTCTTTAAAATTTTATTTATTTAAATAATCTCTACACCCCCCCATGAGGCTCAAACCCATGACCCTAAGATCAGGAGTTGTGTGCACAGAATGCCTGGGTGTCTCAGTAAGTTAAGTGTCTGCCTTCTGGGGCTCAGATCCCATGATCAAGTCCAGTATCAAGCTCCTTGTTTAACAGAGAGCCTGCCTCTCCCTCTGCCTGCTGCACCCCTTGCTTCTGCTCCCCCATCAACGAATAAATAAATAAGATCTTAAAAAATAATAATAAAGTTGCATGCTCTTAGGACTGAGCCAACCAGGCATCCCTATAGCATATAACAAATTAATCTCAAGTAGAAGTGAATGTATTAAAATGAAAATTGCATTCATGGACTATGTGTATGCATTTATAACTTACACAGTAAATATGGAATTAGACAGACATTCATACATACTGTTTTGGAATCTGCTTCCTTCACAGCAACGTATTGTCAGTGTGCAATATTCCACAGCAGTAATTACCTATCAGTAACATCTTGTCTCTTTCAGGGGAATGGTGGGTAATTGTAGATTCACATGCGGTTGTAAGAAATCATACAAAGAGATCCTGTGTACACTTGGCCCAGTTTCCCACACTGGTAGCATCTTGCAGAACTATAGGATGGTATCACAACTGGGATATTGACATTGAAACAATCCACAGATCTTATTAAGAGTCCCTCAGTGTTACTTGTGTGTGTGTGTGTGTGTGTGTGTGTGTGTGTGTGTGTGTAGTTCTATGGAATTTTATGCATCTTTTTTTAAAGATTTTATTTATTTGAGCAAGAGACTGCATGAGCAGGAGCTCAGGGCAGAGGGAGAGGGAGAAGCAGACTCTGTGCTCAACGGGGATGATGCATCATTTTTAATGCCAGAATCTCATCATATGGGTGAGCCATGGTGAACTCAACCAGTCCCTTCTTTGGACATCACATTAGGTTAGGATGCTTTTGGCTACAGGGAGAGAAACCATGGCTCAAGCTGGCATAGCAAGGGCATTCAGTATCTCACCTAAACGATAGTCTAGAGGTAGAGTCAGCTTCAGAGCTGGTCAATTCCAGGGCCCAGTGACCCCACTGAGTACCTAGGTCCTTTCCTTCTCTCTGCTGAGCCACCCTCTGTGTCATTTCATCCCAAGATGGTAGTTCCACTAATTATTCCTAATTATTTCCTTAGGATAAAATCCTAGAAGTGGAATTGCTGGGTCAAAGGGTATGTACATTTTTAAGGGTCTCGATACGTATTTTACTGTGGTTTTTAAGTAGATATTACTGGGGCCGACTTCCTCCCTTTCACTCCTAGCTTACTCACTCCTAAACTTGACCTTCTGATTGTGTGATTCCGTCTCTTGTGTTCCAGATCACCTCCAGGACACTGAGGAGGAGCTGGCCCTGACAGCCATATGTCCCAACGGAGACTGTGAGGACCCCAGGAAGGGGTCGAGAGCCTGTGACGGACTTGTCCCTGCTCCTGCTGACCCCGCTGTAGACTCAAGATGAAGGCTGGACCACCGGGCCACCCGCGCTCTTAACCGGCACACTGGGGACTGGCTCCTTCTCACTGAGCCCCCTTGCTTCCGTGTTGACCTTGGAATGGTGGTAACTACAAAGGCCCCACCTGTCGGTGGGGGGCTGCTGCATTGAACCAGCTAGGAAAACTTAGTTTCCTGGAACCTGCCCACCCCCACCTCACGTTTGCTCACTCCCCGATCACAGTAAGGTTATCTGGCCTTTCCGTACCTCAGTTTTTCTATGCCATTGGGACAGGTGGCTGTCTACCTTGAGGCTCTGTGGTGCTGTGGCAGCCCATGGTGTGTTTGCATGAAAATCCATCATTTCAAGTGCAACTGGAAAGAACTCTGGAACGGAAGGCATCAGATCGGGAACGGGGCCGGGGGGTGGCCTTGGACATGTCGCTGAACCTTTGGGGTTTCTGTTTCTCAAACACATGACGAGGCTCTGAGCCCAGGGGCTCTCAACCAAGAACCAGGCTGCCGTTCCAGGCAGCACTGGAAAGGTGTGTGTTTGAGTGTGAGAGTGAGTGTGTGTGTGTGTGTGTGTGTGTGTGTGTGTGTGTGTGTTGTGCAGGAGTTACTGTGACTATGCGGTACCCCGGCACTTAGTGAGTTTCTCACAACCTACGGTACAATCTCTAACAGTAAAGATTTATTCCACCAAAATTGCCCATTGTGGCTCCTTTGAGAAACTGAGTGAGCCAGTCCCTTCTCCCTGTGAAATTCTACGAGTACCCCACCCCCAGAAGAGAGGGTTGGGCTTCCTGAGACCTTGGCTCCCAGAGCAAAGCCAACATAAAGATTGTACTGCTGCCCTGGGGGCCTGTTGGGTCAGAGCAAAGACAGCCACCTGCTTTGCATGCCCTCTTTCTTCCTCCTGTTGATGTTGACTTTCTGTGCCAAATCCTTTGAGAATAAGGATGCTGGGAACTGCCCATGACACCACACAAGAAAGATAGGAGTGTGCATTACAAGGACATGGGACTTTCTCTCCATTTCAGGCCCTTGTCCAAGGTCAAAGCAGACCCAGCCCAGAGGTGCCAAGTTCCTGAATCCCTTTTTTCTCTGTTTACGAGTCAGACAGGGTTGATGATGATGTTCCCTTCAAAGCCAGGAAAGCCATCTCTTCACTCGTAGAAGGAACTCTGCATTACCTCCCTTGCCTTCCTCGCCTGCCCCTGGAGAAATGCAGTCTTTGGAATGGGAAAGAACAGCTCCTGATTTGCCCTGGTAGGAAGCACTGTCTAAGGGAAACAGCTAAACTCATTCATTTGTGCATGATTTGCTCTGCAGACGTGCAGCGGAGCTATCTGCCCAGGGTTCTACAAGGTTCTGCATAGCTTCCAGTAGTTACTTTGGCTTTCATGTCTGGTACCAAAATGTGGAATTGGAAACCTGTGGCTGAGGGGCTGTGTGATATCAAGGTGGGGTCCCTCCTGGCTCTAGGCCTCAATTTATTCTTCATACTAAGCAGCCTAATTCTATCCCTTCTCTGCCTCATGGGAATAGCGTGAGGGCAGGCGGGGTGACCTCTTATTTGGGGTTGGTTAGCAGCAGGTGTCATTTTAATAATGCAAGGCTGTCTCACCAATACGTAGACCCAGCTGACCTCCTTCTACACAAGAATGAACTCAATGGATTACCGTAGATTTTGTTTTGAAATGGGGAGACTGGTATTTTCAAAGCTGCTATATTTTTCTATTTCTCTGATAATTTCTTTGCAATAATTGGGTTCGAGTTGTATTATTTGATTGGGGGGGAGCCTTTATTAAGGTGGGAAATTACCTAAGGCAGAAGTTACAAGGCACAGCCTCTGCTGTGTTTAAAAGCCTTTTGTATTTGTTGCCAATATTGGAAACTTGAGAAATTGCACACAAAAAATGTAGCTTGCTGGGTAGAGGACAGGGCATGCCATCACATCCACTTCGCTGCAACCCCCCCTCCCCTGGGTAGAGCCCCCCTCCTTCCCATCTAATCTGCCTCTCTACTTCACTCGTACGTGCCACCTGCCTGGTCCTGGTGAACATTCAAGTTCGCATACCTGTGGGGTAAAGAGTGTTCTACGTATAACTTTTTCATTATTTTCAGTATCTCTGGGGACTAGCTGAAGACAGAAGGTCTTTCCTGAGGTTCGTGTTCTACTTCCCAACCGGGAAACACCGGACTGGACTGAGAGCCTTCAGGGCCCACGTTGGGTTTCTCAACATGTGGCTACACATGATCTTTTTAGGAATAATCTAGTTGGTATTTTTCTAGCAGACACAAGAGTTAGGTGCTGGAAGGGATGACCTTGGTGGTAGGTCTCTTCCCTGAGGACTCTTACAAAGCCCGAAGATTGTGGTGGGTCTGTCTGGGAATAGAGGCCCCGAATGGGGTCAGTGGTACTGGGAGCCATTGGCGGGGGTCTCCAGCCAAGTCACACTCTGGGCTGGTGGGTATTAATCCTTTTAATATGGGAGTAGTTGTGCTGCTTCTGACTTGAATCAATAATTCTTTCTATCTAATAAAACCGAACAGTACCTCATGGCTATCTAATCAAAATCAGAATGGATCTTCGCATTTGTTCTCAAAGCATTGCTCACAGGGGCCCATGGGAGCAGGGAGCCTGGGCAAAAGGTGGGAAACCTCTGGAATAGTTTGGCCTGAAAGACTTCCAGTCCTGCCCTGGGGAAACATCTCTACAACCCTGTCAGCTGGAATTGGAAAAACATGTAGCCGGAAAGTAAATGTTTGAAAAGAGATGGTTTTCAAAGATAGCATTTTGCTTGGGGCTCACCCAAATGTGTGCGTTCGTTTGCACCTACGAGCATGTTTAACGAGGCAAGATGGCCTGCCTCAGCCCCGGAGAGCCCTGTATAATATTTGTGTGACGGTTTCTCTCCTCTCGAAGTATTTGTCTCCAAGACTTACCATGCAAGAGGACTCCTTCAGTCGTCAAACCAAAAACAGGGCAAACCTGCAAAGGGGCCGGGATCCAAGGCCCCCAAACACCTGTGTGTTCTCAACAAGCTCCCCTCTTATCCCAGCCAGAGAACCCAGGACTCAAGCTCACGGGAAAAGGTGACGACAGCCATGTTAACCTGATATGAAGCCATATGCTTCAAAGTGTAACAGCTCCTCACTGTGGGGCTGGCTCCCTGAGCTCGTGAGGCCTGCACTTTGTCCTGTTTGGACGGCAAACATAAACAGCACAGTGGGGAGAGAGTCTTTTGTTTCATACCCGAGGGCTGCACAACCCCCTTCTGACCCGGTCTTGTGCGTTAGTGGATCAAGGATTGAAACAGGCTGTCGCTTGTGTAATCTTTGAGTTCAAAGGAAGTGAGGCGCAAGGCAGGGTGGCTGACCAGCATTGTACACGAATTCTTCAGATGCCTTTGCCCCCCAAGCCAGAGCCCTTGGGTTATGTTATACTTGGGGCTGCTGAACTGGGAGCAGAAACAGAGGCTACCCACGGGGATATGCCCTGGTTCACAGAGATCCCAAAGAGAGCAAGGTGTGGAATGGCTCAGGTCCAGAGTTGGCCCAGGCCCTGGGGCCTCTGCGGGTCCAGGGCTTTGGCAAAGCCCTGTCTGACTTCCTCCCTGAGCTCCCTGAGCTCCCCAGCCAGGGCTCCTGCTGCAAGGGCAGACCCACACCTGACTGGTGAAGTTCAGAGACCCTCAGGTAGGAGTTCACATGGTAAATCTTAAGTCAGGCTGGTTTTTGTCCTGTTCTGCACTTGTGGAGTCGTTAGGCTCTAAGTCCTTGTGACCAAGCCCTCATTCTGAGTCCTGATTACACACACTGGGTCTTGCTGCCCTGTGTTTCTTCTTTCCCTCACTGGTTAATGAGGGTTTCTCAGATCGTTACCCCAACTCTGGGCTACCCTAACCAACCACCTGCCATCCCAGGGATCTTGCCCACTCTAGAAACCCTAGCTCCCAGGGCAGCCAATTTGAGCCCCTTGCTCCCTGGCAGAAGGGGGTCTCACCTTTAGCCTCTCTCCCTCAGTCTGGTTTGGTCCGGCCTATGCCGGCACCAAGGAGCAGGGCCAGGCCTAAAAGGGAGGTCAGAGGGCACAAGACCTCTGGGTAGGTCTAGACCAGCCCCGCCTAAGAGAAATCTAACACCAGGACCATATGTAGGTTTAGATTTTTCTAGTAGCCACATGAGGAAAAAAAAATAAAACAGATGGAACTAATTTTAATAATATATTTTATTTAATAATATATTTTATTTAGCCCAGAATGTCCAAAATAGCATTATTTCCACTTAAATATAAAACATTTGTAATGACACAGTTTGCATCTTCGAAATCCTGTAAGGCTATTACACAACAGCTTGATTTAGACACTAAATTTTAAACCAAAATAACTTGATCTGTATTTAGATTTCATGAAATCGTAGTTGAAAAAAGAGATTCACTCTCAAATTGCTCCAGATATACTTAAAAGTTTACCAATGACTAATTTGGGCATCAGTCTTTAAATTTTAATGAAATGAAATAAAATGGAATCTAAAAATCAGTTCCAGGATTTGCAATAGCTGCGTTTCCAGTTCTTGGTTGCACCTATTGCTAGGGGCTAGCCTGTGTGAAAGCAAGTCTAGAACAATGGAAACGTGCAGGATACTGGTCTTGGGGTTCGGTGTGGCTCTTCCCGCCTCACCCCCAGACCCCCAGGAAGGGAAGGGCAGTGGCTTCCTGCATCAGCTTGTCAGTTTTCCTGTCGCCCAGGATAAGAGCTGTCCTCCCGGAGTCCGCCTCCAGGGGAAGAGAGTTCAGTGTCTCAGATGGCTTTGCGGTCTTTTTGTGCCTCAGTCCACCCAGGGCCCCATCCAGGTGTTTTCCTCCCATCAAGCACCCTCCCCCCACCGGAAGTCCGTCTTACACTGCTGCGTTTGCATTTCTGCTCCATGAACAATGATTTCACTCTACTAGCATGTGGCACGCGTGGTGTACCTAGAGCATCCACCAGCCTCGGAGCCTGGCCCTGTGACCTAAGATCT